AATAAATAAATAAATAAATAAATAAATAAATAAATAAATAAATAAATAAATAAATAAATAAATAACCATTTCCAAGTATTCTCTACCTAGAATAACCTGAAATGAATTCTTACAAGTCAGAATTGACTGGATGGCATACAATTATTCTTATTATCATTATTATCAAACCTTGGTAGTTACAAACAATTAAGAGGACATTATTCCATAATTAATTTGATTGCATTTAAGGTGCCACCAACTCTTTGTTGTCATTGTTATAACAACTCTGTATGTGCTGAAAGAGCTACAACTAACTTTAGAATTTAAAAATGCTGTCTTTGAGCTTTGATTTAGCTCCGGGGACCATATAAGTCTCCCTTGCACAAAGCTCTCAGAGAGAAAAAATAGCTTACACCTTATGACCACTTTCCAGCAAAGGGCTAAATGTCCTTAAGCCTATTGAAATCCATGGACTTAAGTGTGCTTAGCTATGGATTTGACTGTGGCCCAAAGAATTTGCAGCCTGGATTTGGAATGAATGACAGTTTTTAAAAGAATATAAATTCTGTAAAAATAATGATGTTCTAATTTGGATAGCGATAATTATATTTATAAATTATTGCTGAATCACACTTAGCCAGGGATCCTACTGATGTCTGCTTCACGTCTGCATTCCTTGCCGCATCAGATTGTGGCTAACTGCTGGGGTGCTGGGATGAATCTCAGTTGTACAGTCAGGTGTCCATCCAGATATGCAACTGAGACATGTTTCGGAGCCTTGGCAATTAGTCGTAATTAACCATAGCAAGTTACACAAAACTTACAGAAACACCAGTAGGAATCTAGCCTGTGTTTGAACTTTGAACAATAGCAATCTGATCTGTGAAAGTCCATGTATTTTTAAAACTACAATATAGAGTTTATATTCATTTTTTTTCCTTCAAGCAAAGATTCTTCCCACATGTTCTAAATGAGATATGCTAATACCCTCTAGCTTAACTCTCCCCCACCCTAAGGAGGTACTTTTCTTAATCTGTTGCAGCAAAAACAACAAACTATCTTGGGACAGGTTTAAGACAAGGAAGTTTTGTTTGTCACCAACTTGCGGGGTCATAGCTGGAATCCAATATTGAAGCAACAGACCTATATGTACACCAGTTTGGTTATGGTTGTTTCACAAGATTTTATTTTTTTCGTTTCACAGTACTGTATAATCCTATATAGTTTCTATGCACAAGTAAATTCCAATTAATTCAGTGAGGCTTATTCTGAGAGAACTGAAAACATTCAAGAGGTAGGTGGTTAGAAGCCTTTCACCTGTCACTCACTCACACATGAGAACTTGTGTATTACTAAAAACATGATAACAGTTTGCATAATAGAAATGTAATATAAGGTATCTGTGTGTGAAATACAATTGCAACCCCCACCTGGGCATGTGTAATGAATAGAATTGCTCTTTGGATCTGGCCCACTAAAGTAGCAATCTTAAATAAGCTTACTGGCTAGTAAGTCCCACTGGATTGTGGTCTTCCTTTAGGGCAAACAAGCCAAGGATTATACTGCATTTTTTTCCAGTTTTGGCTAAGAAAATTAATACGTTAAGTGTTATGTTCCATCACATCAGAATTGACTCATAGCAACCCTAATAAGGCTTTCAAAGTAAATGAGATACAAAGGAATGGTTTACCAGGTCCATCCTACACCCAGTGAGTGTCCATTGTCAAATGGGGCTTCAAACCCAGGTCTCCTAGGCCCTAGTCCTTCAGTCTATCCATTCCATCAATATCATTTGTATAATGCTAGCTTCTGACAAGGAAAGGACTTTATGAAAAGAATGACAACTTGAAATATATTTCATTCAAATACACATGCTCCTATGCTACAACATTCACAAACCTAAAGAGGTATTTTGACCTTTTTCTCCTTGTTCATTATATTCATATTACTTTGTTGCCTGATACAATGATTTGAAAAGCTGATTTTAGATTAGATTAATTGCGATAAGAAGGGAAGGGTATTTTACTAATGCACCCCCCCCCCAGCAATATGAATCAACAGAAAGAAGATGCATGTAACCCAAAACTGAAGGACACACTCTTTAATTAGCTCTTATTAGCCACTACTGGTGACATCATTCCTGTCATGCTGGTGAAACTACATACCAGGATACTGGCCAGTGTTTAACTCCTGATGACCAATCAGAAAACTAAGCAAGCTAATTTGCAAGCTTTAAGAAATCAGACGGTGTTATACATTTAAGGAATTGACATTTCTGGTAGCAAGCTTTCTGTAGTGTCTAAACCAGCTTTCACTATCAGACAAACACAAACAAATAGTTCTCATCTCAAGTAAGGTCTGGAAATCCAAAGTGACAAAGCATCAGCAGGGAAATAACTTCAAGATCCCTATGTTTTTCCTGTATGATGTAGAACCTTGCTCTTATTCTTTTCATCTTAAATTCAGATTCTATGCCAATTGCTTATCTTATGTACACATACTGTACTTATCATTTAATTTAACTGCTTCTTGAATTCTTGTTGATATAACTCTCTCTGTGGACTCTTAGGTGCATTCACAGCATAAGGCTCCAATTCAAAATTAGGAAACTTTGAAAATCTTTGCCTTGTGAATGTGGTTGAACTCCTTTTCTCCTAGATTCTTTTCATCTGACAACATGATATAATTATTTTATATCAAGAAATTCAATTTTCTTATTTGTAAGGAAATGGATAACTTTCAAACCCTACGAGTGTATAAGAGGGTTTTGATCTTCTTCTAACTCACATTTTAAACATTTCTCTTCAGAAAGCATATGATTCGCAAATATTTGTTCTATTTAGAGGGTCAAGTTTTTGTTTATTTGTCCTATCCAACCAAGGCCACAATCCTATATGCACTTTACCTGAGAGCAAAGCCCATAGAACGGGATTGACATAATAGTAATAATAAAAATATATTCAATGAACAGAGAAGGGTTATGGCATGCATTTTCAGGGCAGGTAGATCAGCAGCTTCACTTCAAGAAGATGCTTTCTTGCAAAACATAATGCAAAAAGTGTTTCAGTCCCAAGATAAAGCAAGTGCAAGTTCTACCAATTATAGTATTATGTATTCAATTAAAAAGGGGGGAGGGGCAGGGAATATACAGTAGAGACAATTTAGTAGTGTTGGAGACACTGAAATAAATTTTGAATTAGATTTCATTACTGAATGTAACTGTATTCTAGTTACAGAGATAATCTCCTAGAGACTGGCAAAAACTATATCTGAGAATTTAATTTACCTCCAAATTCAAAAGCTGCCTTCCTATCCCTTCCTAAGACATAACACTGTTCTAGTT